TTTTCAATCTGTTTCAGTAATTTGGTATAATTATCCTCTTGCAGATTTAATGTTCTAGCTCTTAATCAGATTCCTAAATATTTAATTTTATTTACAATTTGTAATCCCGTCTTTTCTTCCAATTTTTTTGTTTACTATTTGTTATGTTTTAAACTAGTATTTTGGTTTTTTCCTTATTGATTTTTAATCCTGCTAATTTCCCAAATTTATCTATTTCATTTAGTAGAGCTGGTCCTGAGCCTATTGGATCTTCTATGACAAAGACCATATCATCTGCGAAGGCTTGTAATTTATATTCTTGATTTTTAATTTTAATTCCTTTAATTTCCTTATTTAATCTAATTCTATCCAGCAAAGTTTCCAAAATAGTCATAAAAAGCAGAGGTGGAAGCAGACATCCCTGTCTGACCCCCTTTCTTATCTCCAATGATTTGATAATTTCTTTAATAATACATTGGACTTTTGTGTGGCATAGATTGCATTCAACATTTTTATGAAATTATCTCCAAAATCCATCAAATTAATCTGCTTTTATATAAAGTCCCAGTTTAAGTTATCAAAGGCCTTTTGTACATCCAGGAAGACCAAAGCCATTTGCTTCCTGGATGCTTTTCATAATATTCCAATATATCTATTATTGTTCTTGTGTTATATCTGATCTGCCTCGTGGGAAGAAATCCATTTTGATCCGGGTGAATTTTATTACTGAGTATTTTCTTTAATCTTTCTGCCATTACCGCCATAAAAATTTTGTAATCTGAGTTTAAAAGGGATATTAGTCTGTAATTCTTTGTTTGATTGGCATCTGTGTCCTCTTTTGGAATCAATGTTATGTATGTTTCCTTCCAAGATTCTGGTATTTTAGCATCCAGTAATACCCCATTGCAAACCTCTAATAACATTATCTCTAATATATCACCTATTTCTTTGCATAGCTCATTTGGTAACCCATCTGGGCCTGGCATTTTATTTCTTTTCTGTTTTTGAATCGCCACCTTTAGCTCATCTAAAGTTATTTCTTTATTCAACATCTCTTTTTTGTCCTCTGATATTGGATAGAGAGTTCCTTCTTTCAAATATTCTTCTATTTTATTTAAGCAAACTGCTTCTTGTTTGTAAAGATCTTCGAAGTACTCTCTTACAATTTCCTTTTTTTTCTCCTGATCTGTATTATTCCATTTTTATCCTGTAATTGGTATATCATTCTTGTCTGATTTTCTTTTCTTAATTTATATGCCAGCCACCTTCCGGTTTTTTTTGCATGTTCGAAATAATTTTGTTTTGTATATAATAATTTTTTAATTAGTTCCTCTTGATCTAAAATGTTCATCCCATGTTTAACTAATGCTAGTTCATTTCTGATATACTTATCTCCCGGGGTTTCCATTTGCTTATTTTCCAATTTCTCTATCCTTTTTGTTAGGGCTTTCCACTTCCTCTCTCTTTCCTTGTTTCTATTTGCTATATAAGCTATCGATATTCCCCTTAAATATACCTTCATTGTATCCCATAGGTTCTGCAATGAGGTATCCTGTTTTTTATTAAATTTGAAAAAACTGATCAATTCTTCCTTAACTTTTTGAATATATTCTTTCTCTTTAAGTACTTGGGAATTAAGTGTCCATTTACCTTTTTTATAATGACTATTTTTCCATACTATCTGTATCGGGTTGTGGTCTGCCCATGTGTTAACCAAAATTTTTATGTCCTGAATCTCTTTATAATCTCTCACTACCCAGGCCATATCTATCCTGGACCATGATTTATGTGGGCTGGAGTAGAAAGTGAACTGTGATATTCCTGGGTTCCTTTTTGTCCATGCATCTACTAATTCTAATTCTTCGACCATCTCTATAAATTTCTTAGGCAATGTATTCCGTTTCTTAAATTGTCTTTGTTCACATGCATAATCTTGTCTATTATCTGTTATTGCATTATAGTCTCCTACTATGCAAATTCTTGGGTTTCCAAATTCTATTAATTTTTCATATAGGTTTTTGTAAAATTCACTTTGGTTTTAGTTAGGGGCATATATCCCCACCAAAAATGTCTTTTTATTTTGTATTACCACTTCTACCATTTTTACCCGTCGTTTGACTTCTCGTCCTCACTCCTATTTCTTCTCTTCCCAACGTCTCTTCATCTCCTTCCCTCTCCTTCTCCTTCTCCCTCCCCCTGCTTCTGGATTGTAGCTCTTCTTGGCTCGGAATTTCATGATCATCTCTGCTGCTCAGTTCTTTCTTTGTTCCTCCTATTTGGTCGAAGAATTCTTGAGCTTTGGTTAGGTTATCTATTCTCACCCTTTTTTCCTTCCATATTGTTAGTATACCCTCTGGGGTAATCCATCTGAAAGATATATATATTTTTTTTGTTTAAATAATTTGTGAGAAATCGATAGTCTTTCCTTTGTTCATGAATTCTCCTCGGCACCTGTTTTAGAACAATCACTTATCTACCTTTATATTTTATTCCTTCATCTCTCATAACTCTATAAATTATATCCTTCACTCGCTTCCTTGCAAATCTAATATGCACTTCTCCGGGGAATCTATGTCTCGCGTAGCTCGTGTATATTCTGTATACATCATCCAGCGCATTCACCATCTCATCCCTATCTCTGTTCAGAAGCTCCGCCAACATCTCCGCCATCACCAACAGTAAATTCTCTCCCCTCTCTTCCTCCACGTTCTGGAATCTAAGATAATAGGAGGCCTTGTCCATCTCAACCTGAGTCAGGATCTCATTGGTCTCTTTATTTTGCTCCTTAATTGTTTGTTCCATGCCTTCTAACTTCTTTTCTGTTTGATTCACTTTAATCTTCTCTTCATTTATTTTAATCAATTCTTGAATCTGGCCTATCTTTCCATCTAAATTTTTGACTTCACTTCTCATTTCCCCTAACTCATTTTTTAATTCTTCTTTTATTATTTCTCTTTCTGCTTTGCTTTCCATATGGTTTTTGGACATCGATTCCTGCAATGTCAACATCATGCTTTGAATAGTTAATAGTGTAGTTTGGACCGATTGTGTACTGGTTTGAGCTGTAGATTTTTCTGGTGCCAACATCCCTTCAATCATTTTTGGGTTGATGTTGCTGTGGGGGTGGATGGTGTTACTGCTGGTGTCGGTTTTCTTCCTACTTTAGTAGTGGTGGTAGATGTGCTGGTCATATCTTTAATAATTCTTTGTTGTTTCTCCACTATCCTAGCTATATTCTCCCAAGTTGTATTGCCTACTACCATCAATTTTATCTATGTTTAACAGTTCGATTTTCTCAATTCTCTTAAGCTTTTATATTACTATTTATCTGCTTGATTTAATTCCTTAACACCATTAGGCGAGGAGATTCTTATCAGTTAATTAATTATGTTTTCAAACTTTCCAGTCCACTTTACTCATTATTACCCTGATTGTCCACTTCACATTCTGTTAATATTGTATCTAGTATTAATAAATTCAATAAATCATCAATTCTTAAATCATCTAGCAGGTTGAAAAATCATTCAACTATGTTTAAATATATAACAGTGTTATAACCCCAATTACTTCTTTAAATTAATTACAATATTTCAATTAATATTACCTTAAATATATAATAGGAATTTAAATTTCCAGTTAATATTTTTCATATATATATGAATATTTCAATAATTCACAGTATTTAATATAAGGAGGGTAGGAGAAAGAGAGGGAAAGAACAATTAATTATCTGATCTTTATATTAATCAATATATTAAAGTCATTAATCTATAGTCAATCAAATATATGTAACGAGTAAAAGAAAAGAGAGATATAAAATATACTCCAAAGGGGTTAAATATTACTTACTTAAGTTAATACCTATTTCAAAGTAACCAATCAATCTTGTTTTCTTATTAATTAAATGTATACCTTAAGTAAATAGAAAGTGAGATTATACCGTTCCAATCAATTTTGAGGGGGGGAAAAGAGAACAAAATGAACACTCAATGAGAGAGGATTTACAATCTCCTTTTTTCCTAGTGTTTCCTTAGTAATCCGATTATATCCAGAGATAAGTTTGAGTCTCAATTCTCAGTTCTCAGTTCAATCTGGTACCTGTGCCACTTTACTCCGCTTTCCCTGTCACAATGTCTGCCTCCACGAATAGCACTGTCACTCCTCTGATCGCTTTCAAAAATTTCAAAGTTTCACAATTCTTCTCCGCTGTAAAATATTATCTGCGGTATATTCATATGACTGGAAATACAAAACTTTCCTCATCAATAGTCACTCTTCTTTCCTTTCCTTTCCACTTCCTTTTTAAAAGCACTTTTCCACTTTATCCGGAGCTATGGGTAAACAGTTCAGTATTGCTGCCACTTTCCACTTTCCCCCTTCCGCTCCAGCACTTCACACATGTATCAATTACCTTTCAGATTTATCTATTAGTTATAATCCAACACCGATTCCTTTCGAACTCTTTCCCGGACTCCAAATTCGATCTCGTCTCTCCACTTCCTTCTCAAAGTTGTTCCATTGCGTCTTCGGGCCAGCCTTGCTGGCTGACCTCTTTTGCCCTGTGCTTCGGGGTCTCTTCTTCACCTCTGAAGGAGAGCAGATCAAGGTTCTCCTATCTCGCCATGCTGCGACGTCACCGGAAGTCTCCATTATGATCTTCTTTTGTGAGGGCGTAAACTGAGACAAAAGTCAATCATACTGTGGTCACTGTTTGAAAAGAGTTCTTGTATTTGTAGGCCATAAATTGAGTTTGAGCTGTTGCAGAAGATGAGGTCAAGGCAGTTGTTGAGTCTAGTGTTGTTAGTTACTAATTAATCCAGTCCCAGTGTAGTAACAGTATTGTACAGGGTTGCATGTATGGGTTCGGATGAACATTCGTTTAGGGTCCAATTTATAAGAGGTAGATTGAGGTCACCAAGGAAAATAAGAGGGTTATTATCATTATCCTAGTTTTCCTCAAGTCTCTGTAGAGCTTGTTTTCTAAATCCAAGGATTGTGAGTTCTGTGTCTATGACCTCCAGGTTCCTTCATTCTCTCCTTGCCCATGGCTATCTATCACCGTACTGAAAATGGCTACTGGTATGGTTTACGTACTTACTGCATTGAAGCTTTCACAAGCAAGAGCCAGGAGCGCAGTTTTATCCTCTACACTTTCCTGGGTGTTTATCTATTGCCTCTTCTCACTATTTGCTTCTGCTACACCATCATGCTCAAGCGCATTGGACGTCCAGTGGTTGAACCAGTAGACCATGATAACCAGGTAAGAAAGTAGAAAGAAACTGTACTTCTGTTGTTAGATTTTTTAAAATAGCTCCTGCAGTCTCCTGTATGTGCAAGAACAAAGTCCCAGTTCAGGTAATTTAAACAAACGTTAAAAAGAAAAAAATCTGAAAGAAAACTTTTAAAAGCCTGTTCTGTTCCATACATTGCTTAGGTGTCACCAGAATAAATTCCATGCCATAATAAGTTTTGGTGAGAGTTGAAATCATTTTCTTCGCTCATGCAGCATATTTTGCTAATGAAGCTACTTTGCACATAATTAACCTTAAGGTCAACTAGGAGCCTGAGGAATCATAAACAGGTTTGTTGTGACTTATAAATGCCTAATAAATCATGCCTTCATTTATAATAACAAATATATTAATTTTAATTAAGAATAAAATAATATTTAATGAAATATAATCCCATTGGTTAAAGAACTTTGGCTGGTCTAGAGTTTTCCCTGCTGTTGTCCCACCCTATGGAAGATCTTGCCCCAGTGGCTGGTCCCTACTCTCCTGGCCTTCTAGAAGAGCATTAAAACTTGGTTCTATCAACTGGTCAGGGGATCTAAGAGTGTTGTGCAACCCTGGGGGTGGTTGGGGGTTGAAGGTGCTCCTTCTGTCTTTTAACTCTGCAGTTGTTGTTTTTTAAAAATATTTGGTTTAATATGATTTTTAATTATGTTTTAACTATGGCTTTTATATAGAATAGAATAGAATTCTTTATTGGCCAAGTGTGATTGGACACACAAGGAATTTGTCTTGGTGCAAATGGTCTCAGTATACATAAAAAAAAGATACATTCGTCAAGAATCGTAAAGTGCAACACTTAATAATAGTCATAGGGTACAATAAGCAATGATTTTATGATTTTATTGTTTTGTTTATAAATACCTAGAGTCATGCAAGTATGATGGGCAGGATAAAAATTTGATAAACAAACACTTTTTTTTCTTATTTCATTTCATTATCAGTTTAAAATACCTGGCAAAACAGACATATTTTTGTATGCTCCTATATTGCTGAAATCTTATCTGAAAATGTATCTTACCTTTGGACTTGGCATACAATATTTGGGTTCATCAATTCTCATTTTGTCTTCTTCAACTGTTTATATAATATCTTTCACCAAGAAATTGAATTCCTATGTGTTCTGAATTCTCAAATTATCTATCAGTTATGGAGCACAAAAAATTAAGCTATGCTTTGTTTGTTTTATTCCCAATCATTTTTACCCAAGAAGTGAATTGAATTAAATTAAATTAAATTTAAATTACTCAGTTGATCTCCCCTCCTGAAAGGTCTCTAAACTTATGGGAAAATTCAGGAAGAAAAAAATTGCAATGATTGGGAAAATGGAAGAAAAGGTGAACATAAGATGATAAGTAGAGGGACTGTCAATATAAGGATAGGCAAATAATACCATCACCACCTGCCCCAGCAAAAGATAGCCAGATTGGCATACTGGTTAAAGGTGTTGGATTATAAACCAGGAGACCATGAATTCTAGTCCTGCTCTAGAATCGCAAAATCCAAATGGGTCGGCCCTAGCAAAACGGTATTGGCAAGCCTCTTCCAAAAGCTTCCAAAAGCTTTGTAAATTGCCAAAAATCTGGGCTGAGTTTAGAGTATCCAGCAGCGCAGAGTATCAGAATAGCTCTGAAAGGCCTGCTGAATTCCTTGCATTTCACTGAGATTCCATCATTTTGCCTTTCTTTGGAAAATACCTCTCCAAAGATACATATTCTAAAAACTTGGGATACTTTATTTTACGTATTTATTCAATTTATATGCCACCCACCTCACTCTGCAAAGTGACTCTGGGCAGCTTACAAGTAAAATAAATATATATTAAAATGACTGTCTAAAATTGCAATTGTCTTCCTCCTGAATCTGAAACCAGTAGGTCTCCCCCCGGCCCCGCTAAACTAGGCAATTGATCTGGCTGCTCAACTGGCGCACACTCCATAAACACTGTTCATGTGTGTTTTCTGTTCATTTCCAGCAAGTGCAACATCTCTCTGAACGCTCAGCTGCCATGCGAGCTAAGATTTCCAAGATGGTTGTAGTGATTGTCCTTCTTTTTGCCATTTGCTGGGGTCCTATCCAGTTCTACCTGCTTTTTCAGGGCTTCTATCTCCATTTCCAGGCAAACTATGAAACCTATAAGATTAAGACGTGGGCTAATTGCATGTCATATGCTAACTCTTCCCTCAACCCTATTGTTTATGCTTTCATGGGAGACAGTTTCCGCAAATCCTTCAAGAAGGCCTTCCCCTTCCTCTTCCGCCAGCGTGTACGGGACAATGGCATGCATTCAGGCTCTCATAACGCGGAGATGAAATTTGTTACTGAAGAGACCTAGAGACCTATTGTGAGGAGAACTTGGCTGGCTTCCTTCCTGAAAAAGGAACTGACATGTTAAAGTAAGATGGCTACTGACTCAGCCATATATGAAAGGTAATTTCTTCTGTACCACCTACACAAAGCATAATTTTCTGCATTCTAGGTTAAGTAAGTTCCATAATGATAAGAATTAGGGATTCCATATTATTCACTGTGAATTTTAATTTTAAAGGCTTCAGGAATCCGCACTGCTGTATTAGGTTTCAATGCTGCCAGAATAAATCCTACTGTTTTGTGTTTATGGCCATCTTTAGAATATAGGTCTTGTACAATTTGGATCTATCCGGTCTCTGGATGTAAAATATAAAAATAAAATTTTTGAAACTGATTTTTTTTCCTGAGACTTATTGAGATTCAAGGGTTTTGTTTAAAAAAATAACAGATTAAAATGATAATAAAATAACAGATTAATATTGTTCAAAAGACACATCCTTGATTCAATGGCATTTAAAATGCATCCCTGTTTAACCAACCCACACAGTGTTAATATTTAATATCCACTAGTGCCTTAACATTATTGTTTTCTATTTTTTCTCCAACAGAGTTCAGGGCAGCAGATGTCTTGTCATGTGACATGCGATTTACTTATTACATTTTTATTCTGCCTTTATTACTTCCTAAGTAATTCAAGGTAGTAAATATACCTAATACTCCCCCCTCCTTCTAGTTTTTTCACACCAACCCTGTGAGATAGGTTGGGCTGAGAGTGAGTAATGGGCCCAAAGTTACCTAGCCAGCTTTCATTCAGGACTAATGGAGAACTTCCAGTCTCTTGGTTTGTAGGCCAGGACTTTAACCACTAAGCCAAACTGCTAAAACAAACGATGATGCGAAAAGATGATGGCTTGATTCAACCAACATGCTAACACTTGACTAGGCTCCCTAAGTAGACTGAACTCCAAGTTTCTCCCTTCTTATCTCAGTCTGGAACAGAGACTGCTCTGACCATATGATAAGTTTCAGGACATACCCATCGTCTTCAACTAGCTAGCCCAACCATAGGACAAGAAGAGAGCTGTGGACCAGGAGAGAGTTCTCCAGGTGCATCTGAGTCCATAGCAGTTGAGATCTGAATGGGATCCAGCTTTCCTGGGATCGACTACTGAATGCAAGAGGTGTTCTTTCCAGACTGCACACTGTCTTAGGGGTTTTTTCCCCCTCCTTCCTTCTCTTGCTTTTAATAGAGACCTTGATCTGGTTCACAAAGTGTCCAGATGAGAATACAATAATTAGCAGTGACTGCATTAACTCAGGCAGATCTTCCAAGTGATTCTGGCCAGCTTGTCACTGAGTAGGGACAACTTTGCACAGTTCAAGCTGCTGCAACACATAACTTGAACAAGTTCCTTGACAACGGTAATTGTTGTGGGGAAGAGAAGGTTAAATAATTTCTGTCCCTCCCCACACACATCAATCCACAATGTAATCATTTCTCCTTTCCACTTGTCTCCCCATGACTCATATTTTCTAATGTCAGCAGTCACCCTTTGCTAGGGATACTGTGCTTTTAAACAAGCTGGTAACTCACCAGGCAGTTCGTTTTCTTTTCGTCTCACCTCCCCCACTTTTTATATTTAATGTTTGAGAATTCATGTTTTTGTGAATGATGGTTGAACCTCTCTTGAAGTTTATCACTTTAAATATATTCATGTACTAACATTCAATTGTTTCAGATTCCCTTCCTTTATAAAATACAAACATTTCAATCTGATGGGAACTGCTTGAGCAGTGAAAGGAATTTTTTTTAAAAAAAACAAACCATATTCCCAGTAAGAATAATCAGAATTCCATCCCTCGCTGTCCTATTCACTGAGATTTATTTCCAAGATGGATGCCCAGGGTAAGAAGGGACTTCAGATAGCCCCTCATTCTTGTTAGCATGGTAATACACATCGAGAAAAGAAGGATGCAGCCTTCATGATAGATTAACCTGTACCTTTCAACAATCTATATACCTAACAAATCTATACGTCTTTTGCTATGTGATTGCTTACAGATGCCATAACATACATGAATTATTGTAACTGATTTACCAGGCAGATCTGTCTACCCTGTCCCTGAAGAAACATGCAACATTAATATTTATGGGCACTATTTTTTATAAAGGTAAGATCACAAAAGATGGTTCTGTGAAAGAAATCGCTAGTTTCAGTAATGCTCTGCACACACAAATGTGATACCAAATCATTCCTTCTTATAATCAGCAATCTTGCTGCCTTATTCAGGAACACTGAAGCTTATTAATTGCACACTATCAGTAAAGTGCACCATAAATACTCTGTGAGAGGCAGAATAGAAGAAGAAAATTAAAAAGTGTCTGTATTGGCCTGATAACTGACCAGAAAAACACAGATCATATTTCTTTATGGAAGTGTCAGTCCATCACTCAGGATTATACTCCTACGGTGCCATTATTCTACCTGCGTAATTGTTTCTTCAGGGATTCATGAGTTTTAAAAAAAGATTTGTGGATATTCACAAGAGGGCATACAAAACAAACCACAGTATAAGGAGAAAAGAAATGGCAAGTCTTCTGCCTGCAAATCTACCTTGCTCCCCGCCAAATCAAAGATGAAAATAGGAAAAACTCTTCTCTAAACCACTAAACCGTGGCTAAATAGGTGGTAAAGAAAGCAGAAAAGAGAATAATTGACCTGTTTTAGCTCTGAGGACCACCAGACTCTCTGCTGTTTTACTATGCAATTCTCACAACAGCCCTATGAAGTAGGTTAAGCTGAGAGATGGAGGCTTTACTACTAGACTGGCTACGTGATTGTTTGAAGAAAGCATGTCTCTCTTTCATTGAGTATCTTCTATAATCAGTTGGAATAATTGTTCAGGAGCACTAATATGTGAAGCTATTATAAATATAAGAGGAGAACACCTGACAAATATACTTAAATTTGACATTTTTTTCCTGTCCCCCAGTTTCAATACATTTAACATGAGCCTTGCTATGAATTGCATTAAATTCATTAAATTGTCCACCTCTATCATTCTATCCGTAGCAGTACACGAGCTGCTATTAGCCAATATGACTGCTAGATTCTACAGTTTCTAAGGCAACCAACAGAGGACAAAGACCAAAAATATGGCCTATCACTTCAGGTGACCAGGAAACTAGGACAGGAAACCCAGTGAAACTGAAAAGCAAAATTGACCATTACTGTACTGAAACTTAACTTGAGTATACTTTCCTACAGGAAGAAATCCCATGTTTTCACCTCATTACTTCAGAAGTGATCATTTTGTCAGTGTCACAACCCAACTGGCGTTCCTGAATCACTGAAATATTCCAATCTTTAGTGTACCTTTTATTCCTTCCAATCTGCTTTGCAAGCTGAAATTCCCTTCCAGAGTTCTTTTCCACCTTGTTTTGCTACTTGTTTGTGTTATTTCTCTGTTCTTAATTCTCTCCCTCTTTCTCCATTTCCCTTTTAATTTTCAGATAACTGAAAAATAATATATGTTGCTGAAACACTCTCATGATTCTTATGCCCTTTAGAGATAATTAAAAAAAAGAGAGAACATGGGTTGAATCCAGCTGGAGCCAGATCTAAAAAGACTCAAGTTATACTTAGGGTTATCTGTGCGTCTATGCCTATATAATTGCATTTTTATGTAATTTTTAAATACATAGAGATTATTATCATTTAGCTGAAAAACTCCTGATCTTATATTTTAATATTACGATAGTTGCATTACTGTTCCAATTTTTACTTTATTCTGCTTTTGGTTATAAGCACGTGAGAAATAAACTACTGCTACTTTACAGGTAAGTCCTCAACTTACAACCATTTGTTCAGTGACCAAAGTTACTACAGCACTGAAAAAAGGGACTTATGACCAGTTTTCATACTTATGACCATTGCAGCATCCCCATGGTCATGTGATCAAAATTTACATGCCAATTTGGCAACTGACATGTATTTGTGACAGTTGCATTGTCCTGGGGTCATGTGATCACCATTTGTAACCTTCCCAGCTGACTTCTACTATTTAATCATGTTCCAGATATTTATGGAGATTCTCAGTCATCCAGGTCATGGTTGCCCCAAAGGTCATTTCAAAAAGAAAAGACTTTCTTGGTTTTTTTTCCCTTGAAAACATTTTCTTTCTCAAGAAGAAGATTCTTGGATAAGAAACGAAATGTTTTTAGGGGGAAAAAAAAACCAAGAAAGGCCAGTTGCCTTCTAGAAAAGCAACTTTGGGACATGTTCTAAATAGTGGATAGCTAAAATAGAACAATGTTCATTGTGGTTGGTTGGATGGATAGAGGGAGGGAGGGATGGAGGGATGGATAGTAAGTAGCCTTGCCTTTCTAGTGCTCACCAGATGTGATGGAAAGTATTTCAACTCATTGAATGCTTAAAAAGCATAATCTTTAGCCATTGTAATGGGGAAATTTGTGAATTGAAGTTCCAAAAGATCTAGACGATCAGGAAGTTGGTTTCATAGGAAGATGGTAGGTTAGTTTTGCAGGCATTTGCTTTTAAAAATAAAAATAAAATAAGGGTGGCATCAGCCTTCCCTAATCCAGTACCCTTAGCATACGGAGGATTTGGCCATGCTTGGTGATAGTAAGATTTAATCCAACACATCTGGAGAGCAGCGGCATTCACAGGAAGGGATCAATGACATCAAATGGCAGGCGCAATTGCAGTTATTGAAGACCCACCCTTTTTTAATGGATCACATGAAATGCAGGCAGATGAAAAGGGGTGGACTTTGGTCACTTGATCAGGCCTGCCATTTTGATATTATTGAACCCTTTGTGGATGTCCCCAATAGGGAGTCTCAAGCTAGATGAGCCTGGTCTTTGGAATTCTGCATGTGAAACATCCTGAATTTTCAACGTTGTGATAGAGTGAAATATTCTAGTGGTCTACTAAAATTTATTTTATGTGAGGCTGTATGAGAAAATAACCCAGAAAATCCAGCTGGCACAAAACACAGTGACAAGATTACGCTTGTCAATTTAGAATAACATTTATATTAAAGACACTGCATTGGTTGCCAAGAGGATAAGATAATGAGTCTATCTGCAGTTCCCATTTTGTTGATATTTCAAAAACTATTTGACCTGTTTTATTTTACTGAGCTTTTAACTCCAGATGATTGACTGAGAGTTTGGAATTGGATTTTTTTTCTGTCATTTGTTTTTGTTTTTCCAATTATTATGCAGAGTTTTATTGT